TGAAAGAAAATATAAAGTTACATTAACATGAAAACCCAGAAGTTTGATGTCTTCCTATATACTAAGTTAAACACAATTTTGATTTAAACAAATTCTGTTTATGAAAAATAGTCACTGGGCACGATGGCTCAGGCCTGTAATCCCAACACTATGGGAGGCTGAAGTGGGAAGACTGAGCTCAGGAGTTCAAGACCAGTCTGGGCAATGTGGTGAAACCTCATTTCTACAAAAAATATTTAAGTTAGCTGGGTGTTGTGGTGCACATCTGTAGTCCCAGCTACTCCACAGGCTGAGGTGAGAGGATCATTTGAGCCCAGGAGATCAAGGCTGCAGTGAGCTTCAGCCTGAGTGGCTGAAAGAGAGCCTATCTCAAAAAAAAAAAAAAAAAAAGAAAGAAAGAAAGAAAGGAAAAGAAAAAAAAGGAAAGGAGAAAGAAGTCATGGTTACTTGTTTTGCATATTTATTTTTAAGACGTAATTTTTTAGAGACGTTTTAGGTATGCAGTGTGTGTGTTTACGTTTTGGCTAGATGAACTGCCAGGAAAGAAAGGAGTAAGTATGAAGTGAAGGATGTTAATCTCCACAGCCCTTGGCAAACAAGGAAAGAACTCTATCCTAAGTCACTCTACATTCTACCACTATCAGGGGCCTAAAAATGGCAAGTGGCTAGAAGTGAGAGACTACTGAACTTCTGTTAATTAGCTGCTTAAGGGGCTGGAAAGAAACTTATGTGCCAGAAGACAGAAAGATTAGTCCTCAGTATGAGGTTCTGGTATTGATAATCATGTTGTTGTTGTTTTTTGAGATAGGGTCCCCCTCTGTGGCCAGGCTGGAGTTCAGTAGTGCAATCACAGTTCACAGAAGCCTCTCACACTCAGGCATAAGCTATTCTCCCACCTCAGCCTCCCGAGTAGACAGGACTACAGGCATATGCCAGCATGCCCAGCTAATTTTTATTGAATTTTTTTGTACAGATAAGGTTTCACTATATTGCCCAGGCTGGTCTCCAATTCTTGGCTTCAAGCAGCCTCTTGCCTTGGCCTCCCAAAGTGCTGGGGTGACAGGTATGGGCCTCTGTGTCTGGCTGATTTTTTTTTTAACTGCTGTATTTACTTTATGGCTCCACAAATAAGCTAAGGTGAAGATGATAAGTATTTACAGAATGGTCAGTTTTGCAGGATACAGCATGTGTGTAAAAACCTAAGATGCAATAAACATACGAAAAGAGTCACTCACTATTAAGGGGCTGGAAAGAAACTTATGCGCCAGAGGACAGAAAGATTAGTCCTCACTCACTATTAATCAGAGAAATGCAAAATAAAATGAGAAACCATTTCACAACCATCACACTGGCAAAGGTTTTAAGTCTTTTATTAAGTGGTGAAAAGCAATGGAGAAACATGCTGTTGGTGATAAGATACAACCAGCACAAACCAGTAGTAGAGTAGAAAATAGGCATGCATGTCCTCCAACCCAGGGCTTCCACTTCTAGATATACACCAGCGAGAGATATATGCTAGGGCTAGAGAAGCAATATATAGTGATATATGACATGGAAATTGCCTATTATAAAAAGTTTAAATAGACCAAAAAAAAAAAAAAAAGCAAAAAATTAGGAAATGGCCAAATGTCCACCAACAGAGGAATGGATAAACTTGCAGTCACACAAAAGAATGCAATTCAGCAGTTAAAGAACCAAAACTACAAATAAATCCAAAAGTCATCCTCCCATGCAAACAAAACAAAACACCCACTAAGTTTAATTCTTTCTCAAAGAGCTGCACATGAGATAATATTCACTAAGTTTTAAAAGCACACCAAAGCAATACATATGATTAAGTAGCTAAAGGTATGGAACTATCAATGAGAATTAAATATATCAATTTCAGGTGACTATTGTGAACTTTACCCGAGTCCTGTGTTCTCTGAAAGCAGTGATGGTTAATCAACCCCATCGTTTTGTGTTCTGGGAAACAGATACTGCAAAGAACTGGCCTGTTGCATATTTTCAGATTAAGGCAATTAGGAATGCTCTCCTAATTGCAATAGCCTGAAAAAATTCATCTCCTTCACCAGCCAGTATATTATGTCTTTGACACAGGAATGGTTATCTCTGGGGAGGGAAGGGAATGTGATGAAGAAGATGATGCATATTTAGCTGTAAGGGTAACTTGAAATACGGCAATAAGATAGCCTTTTCTGTACAAAGGGATCTGTTATTCTGTGTATTTTTCTGCTTAAAATGTTTCAAAATTATTTTTAAAGCTTGGAGTTGGAAAAGGTGATTTCTCTCCAGTCCATCCTTTACAATCTGTTTTCTTGTATGTTAAATAGGCACATGAACACGTGAAACCTATTTCACTGGGTGGTTTGTTTTTGCTAACCACCATGTATGAGAATACCTGAATACTGAGCCAATTCTCTCACTTTATGAGAACACAGTAAGGGTTAGATTATCATGGAGACATTTTAACTCTACTTCGAGGGCAAGACTACACTCTTAATTTCCAAGAAGCTATATAGATATCTACGCTGTAAAGGTACTCCTTGGTTACAAAAGGAGCTAGGCAAGTTTATGTGTCGATGTCTCAATCCACATCCAGTAGAACCACTGAGCAAATATCCCTCGGAACTTGATGGTGGGCTGCTAAACAATCTGTTTAAGGAGACTGGCACACCCAGTACACAAACACACACACGTACGTTTTGTTTGGGGTCTGTAATTGTGGTTCATGTGCAGGCAGACATGGTTTTTTTTTTTTTTTTTTGGAGGGGGGAAGCACTATACAGTGAGATATCTGAAAACACATAATCTCATCCTGAAGTGCCCAGGTGGTTTCAAACTGCTTTATTTCAGGTGCTTCTAGAAGACTTGGTTAACACAAAGAAGGGATTCTGCTAATTTGGAACAAACCTGTGGTAGTTAAGAAACTTGGAACCAAGCATCTAATCAAAAGAGCTAAAGGAAAGTGCTAGACTCTGGGATAATACCCACAATATTCTCTAATCGCTGGACTGAACAAAGATGTTCCTGTACTCATAAGGCTAAAAACAAAAATAACCTTTAAAAATGGGGGGGGTCTATATTCTGAATTCTCATGCTTCACAAAAATCCACACGAGAGTAACTTGTAAGGTCTTCTTGACTTCCCCAAAGCCAACAATTTTGAAACATATTTGGAAACTGCTCATCTCTAATTTTTATTTCTCCCACTCCTCATAAGAACCGGGAAATATAACAGACTCGTTCTTTCTAGAATTTAGTTAAGCTTTAACTAAAACTAAGCATTTAACTTAAGTATTTAACTAAAGATAAAATATTTGGTCTCTTATTTTCAAACACAAAAATAAAGTCTGTACTAGTCACTCAATAAAAAGGATAATGTCAAATCAAGTCTCTAGAGCAGACTCCAGTCAACTTCAAAGCACTTTCACAGACTGAATGGTCTTAAACGTTCCATAACTCAAAGCCTTTAGATTAAGTCTTTTAGTATAAAGTAGTGTATACATTAAAGTTATTATTAATTTTTTAATAATTAAATATTTAAAAGACTTAAGATGCTACTTTGTAGCTTAAAGAACCAAAACTGAACAGTATCAAATCCCTATTACTTAGTCATCAAGAAACTACCGATTAATTTTTGTGTTTTACTGAGGGGCCACCTGCATGTTCACGAAAATTGCAGTAACTTAAGAAAATCAAAACTGTTACACAATGAAAACACTTTATATGCAGATAAGCGAGTACCAACTCTTTCCAGACAGACAGATGTGATTACAGCGTAATATTTCTAGCAAAGTCTGGTAAGGCTATGCCTGCAAATCATTGACCAAAAATGGTAACAGTGTGTGCAGACTACAGAAAATGACAAAATGTTCCTTCCACCTGATAGTTCAATTGAGACTACGTTTGTTTTCAAATAACTAAAGTGATAGTTTAAAGGGGGAAATATGTAAATTAAGCAAAATGTACATCATACAGAATATACTAATGAGCACCTTTTGGTGACTCCAATATTTTAATGGTCTTTTTTAAAGCTCTGAAATTTGCTTTTATCAGCATCCCAGCATCATGCCCACACGTTGCGCACCAAGTTCTGGCACAGTTCAACTGTCTACAGGTCAGAAAAAAATACTCTAACTATACACGGACAAATCGGGCAGGGAAGGGTTAAAAGAGACACTGCCAAGCTTGACAAGCACTTCGAGAGTGCTGCTGGAAGCCGATTGCCAGATAAAAAAGCAAACAAAGCGGCTGCAAGGCCACCCCGTTCTAAACCATGCCAGGATCATGCTTGTTAGCGACCATTCCGAGCTCTAGGACTGTTCCACAAAGGCTTTATCTTCCTTACCGAGACAGACAGATCTCACGGGGCGGAACGCGCGCAAGTCACCCAGCGCCTCAGCGCCAGCTCTGGGGAAACCCACGCCAACACGGACGGTCACCGGATTCCGACGCCGCCCCCTCACCGGGCCTCGGTCTGCAGACCCCCGACGGATTTCACGGAGTGGGTGGGGGCGCTCGACCCCAGCCAGCTGTAGCAAGGCCAAGGCTGGAGGCAACGCAGAGGCCACGCTCGGGAGCGGCGGCCTCGCCCCAGCTGGCAGCTGCGCAGCGGCCGGGGGATCCGTCCCGGGGTGCGGGGGCCCAGCCAAGACGGCGGGCGACTGAGGCCCGGAGAACCCCCGTGGCCCAGAGTCTGCAGCCGGGTCGGGTCCCTCCCCGGACTGGGGCGCGGCTCATTCCCCAGAGACCCGCCGCTCCCGGCCTCCTCGGCCCACGCCTCGGCCTACCTCCCACTCACCATTTTCGCCGCGGCGGTCGCAGGGACGCGAGGGAGGGAGCCGGAGGGCAGCGAGTCTACGGAGCGTCCTCCTCACGGATGCGGCACCGAGAGACCCAGCGCTGAGCTGACGCGGCGGCGTGAGCCTACTCTGGAGAGGGCGCGCCAAGGGACTGAACGCGGCTGCGCACGTCACGCACCGCCCGTCGTTGCTGAGCAACGAGCCAGCCCGGCAACGCCCAGCCCGGGGGCTGTCCAGACTCCCGACGGGAGGGGAGCTTCCCCTACCTGCTCCAGGCTGTTGGGAGGGCCCCCGCCTCACCAGAAAGTGTTTAGGGGTGGAGGTGCGTTCTTCCCCGTCTGCGCGGAACTAGAAGGCGGACTGGACTGGCGCCTGCTGGCGAGAAACGAGCACAGGATGACGGGGGAGGGGTGGCTTTTCTTCGCCGCCTTGGGTGGGGCCACCTGACGCCCCGCCCACTGTGCGGCCACGGACCACAGGGGAGGCAGCCACCTGGCCAGGTGTGCCAGCCGCAGGGGAGAGGGTGGGGCTGGGGAAGAGAAGGGGAGGGGAGAGGCGGGGGAGAGGGGGACAGAATGGGGGAAGGAGGGGGATGTGGGAGGAGGGGCGAGGGGCACGTAGCGGGGGGAGGAGGAGGGGGAGAAGAGAAGGAGGAGGGACATTGGGCAAAGGAAGGAGATGTGGGGGGAGGAGAGGACAGGGGCGAGGGGCACATGGTGGGAGGAGAGGGTGGGAAGAGGGGAGGTGAGGGAGGAAACAGTGGGGGGAGGAGGGGGGATGTGGGGGCAGGAGGGGGAGTGGCTAGGGGTGGGGAGGAGGGGAGAGGTGAGGGAGAGGGACGCGGAGTGGTGAGAGGAGGGGGATGTTGGGGATGGGGAGGGCAGGGCCCTAGGAGGGGCACGCGCGGGCGGAGGTCCCGCGGGAGGGGAGTAGCGGGCCGCGGCGGCAGGGACGCCTCCCGCATTTTTTACCTACTTTGGTGCGATTTCCGCCGCCCTCCCCTGATTGGCCCAGCCTGGTTCGTTCGGCCCTCGCGTGAGGGGGGAAAAAATCTGCACATTTTTCCTCCTTCCTGAGGCGACCGTGGCCGTGCAGAGTGCTCTGTGAGTCACCGCTAATTTCAGGTCTGGAAAAACAAGGAGGATTTATTTATCTTTGGGAACTGCCGGGGAAGGAGGCCGGCGGCGCGCAGGGGTGTGGCTGGGAAAGGCCGCGCTGTCCCGGGACGGTGGCGCCAGCCCCGCCGCTCAGTTCTTCGGGCTTTTAATTTGGGATGTGTTTTTCTAATGGGCGGTTGCATCGGAAACACGGTTTTCAGAGGCCCAGAGGAATCCCAGCGTTTTTGCTGCGGGTGTTTTTGTGGGAAATAAAGGGAATAGAAAGAATTTGATGAATTAATTTAGGTTACAGAGAATATCATGGCCTCGACCAAAAAAATTTTTTTTTTTTTATTTTCCAGATACGAGGCTTTTGGACAAGATGGTCACTACTTTTGGGGGGCACTATATAAAATATAGGTTTTATGTGGCTTTTGTTCTGCCCCACTCAACATAGAAACCCATTTCTTATTACCCTCGCTCTTTTCAAAAAAAGACAGCAAGTTGTGCAGTTTTAAGCCTGTACCACCACTTGATTTTTGGCGGGCTAGAGCAGTCGTTCTTAACTTTAGTATGCATCAGAATCACCTGGAAAAGTTCAAATCTAAATTTGTGTGCCCCATCCCCAGAGTTCCCTCACTGCTTCTAAGATGTTGCCTGAGAATGTGCATTCCTAACAACTAGGTGATGCTGCTGATGCCAGTCCGAGACCACACTCCTGGGCTGAGAAGGAACCCCATTGTATCCTACTGCAGCGGGAACCTTCTGCTTTTCTGTCGGCCTAGACCTCTGTGACCCCTCCACTTCTTAGTATTCAGACTTCCTTACTAGTCCAAACGTGAATGGTGCTCATTTAAGGATACATGCCTGCCTGCTCCAGCCTCTGTCTCCTGCATTTTGTCCTCCACTGTGCCACCAGAGTTATGGCCAAACATAAGACTGGCCTTGTTACATTTTTGCTTAAAATTTTCTGTGGCTTCCTCCAGAACCCTCACTGGGTCAGTCTGGCCGTTCTGCTTCTGGCCTCAGCCTACTTTTTCTGCCATATCTCTCCTATCTTCCTGAGTGCCCACTGCCCCTCCCAGACGATACTTCTCATTCCAGAACACCTCTTACTAGTTCTAACTACCTTGATCGTGGCCTGTTTATTTTTTCAGCCTGGAATGTTCTACCACTCTTCCCATCTGAAGACTTCTCTTACCGCTTCCCAAGAATCAATAGTTCCTCCTTTATTTTTTCCTTTTTTTTTAACTTCCGGTCCCCCACCCTTTCCAACTCCTTCACTCCAGTAGTTTTGTAATGCCTGAGTTCATCACTTAAATCTTAATAAAGATCCAAATCACCTGGGATCCTCGTTAAACTGAAGATTGAGGAGTTGAGGGGTGGAGTCTTGGATGGCCCCAGTAGATGCAGCTGGTATACTTTTGAGTTTGCAGGTTTTATGGTTTTTCCCTACAATTACAGTAGCTCTGTAATTATTTTTGTTTGTTTGCTGATACTACCACATTACGCTGGGAGTTCCTTGAGGTCATGGGATATTTAGGATGCATGTGTGTGAACTGGCATAGCCCGATACATAGTGTTTAATAAATGTTCAGTAAGTGAACCAGTATCTGAAGATGTTTTAAAATGTATCAAACTTCAATATCGGTTTATTACAATCTAAATGAGCCCCCATTTTTTTAGGTCCTACTGAACTTCAGCCTCTGCATTTAACACCCAGGTTTTTTTTTTCCTAGACATTGACATTCCTCCTCTCCACATAGAGGGAACAAGTTTTCATACAATGCTATAGACTAATAAAGATTTATGCCCTCCCAAAGTTGAAAGGTAATCCCCAGTGTGATGGTAGTTGAAGTAGGGGCCTGTGGACTGTGGTTAGGTCATGAGGGCACAGCCCCCTTTAATAGAATTAGTGGCCTTAGAAGAGGTCCCAGACTGCTACTTGCCCCTTCCACCATTGTGAGAACACAGCAAAAAGGTGCCATCTGTGAACCAGGAAGTGGGCTCTCACCAGACCCTGAATCTGCTGGTGACTTGGTCTTAGACTTCACAGTCTCCAGAACTATGAGAAGTAAATTTCTATTGTTTGTAAGCCACCCAGTTTATGATATTCTATTATAGCAGCCTGAACAGACACATAGGTCTCTCCTCAAATACGAGATTGTGTATTAATAGATGGAGCAGGCTAGAAAAAGCTCCTTTTGCTAGGAGACACTATTGTTATACAGCATAGAAAAAAATTTTAGTTTCTCTCCTCCCTCCCCACAAATTCACCTGTTTCCTATCTCCTGTCCCTATTTATGTCAGTCTTTTTTTTTTTTTTTTTTTTAAGGTGGAGTCTTGCACTGTTGCCCAGGCTAAAGTGCAGTAGCACTGTCTCAGCTCACTGCAACCTTCACTTGCAGGATCAAACAGTTCTCTTGCCTCAACCTCTCGAGTAGCTGGGATTACAGGCGCACGCCACCATACCCAGCTGATTTTTGTACTTTTAGTTGAGATAGGGTTTTACCATATTAGCCAGGCTGATCTGAAACTCCTGACCTCAAGTGATCCACCCACCTCAGCCTCCTATAGTGCTGGGATTACAGGTGTGAGACACCATGCCCGTCTGTGTGTAGTCTTTTTAAAAAATAATTTAATCCTCTAAGACACGATGTAGTTTTATTGTAAAAGTCAAATAATACAATAAAGGAAAAACCCCTTGAGCACCTACTCTCCTTTCCCATAATCCCAGTCCTCTCCTCAGAGGTAACCACTGGTGTCAATTTGGACTAACAGAAATACACCTTGGGCATGTGTTTTGTGTTTGGTTTGGTTTGGTGTTCTGCGTAATGGTTTTGTGTAGCGTCTTGTAACCTGCTTTTGTGCGCTTAACGATTGTCCTGGCAATCTTACCATATCAATAAATCATTTCTTACAGTTGCTGCAAAGTGTGACTGTTCATTCATTTACTTTTCCCCTACTGATGGGCATTTAGGTTATTTCCAGTCCTTCCGTGTCCCAAGCAATGCTTCAGTGAACAGCCTTGGGACTGGCTTCCTTGCATACATGAGCTGGCAGTCCTCTCAGAAAATTCCTCACATAAAATACTAAGTCAAGAGGAATGCATAAATTTTATTTAACTAATTACATACTGCCAGATAGCCTTCTAAAAAGGATATACCAATTTATAATGCCTCCCACAGTAGTTGAGAATATCTGTTTTCTCTCCACTGACCGTTTATTTAAAGTTTGAGGAATTTTAAAACAAGCAAAATTAAGTATAATAAAAAAAGTCAGAATAGTTAAGTAGGGTGGGAGTGGAGATTGACTGCAGAGGGGCCTGACAGAACTTTAGGGATGATGGTTTTTAATTTTTTTAACTTTGTTGGGGTTTAAGTTACATGGCTTTACAGGAGGCAGAGGTTGCAGTGAGCCGAGATCGCCACTGCACTCCAGCCTGGGCAACAGAGCAAGACTCCATCTCAAAAAAAAAAAAAAAAGTTACACGGGCATATACATCTGTCAAAATTCATCTTAAGATTTGTACATTTTACCATATATAAATTTTACCTGGGAAAGAAGAAAGAATGCTTGCCTAAAAAAATACTGAACTCTAATTAATGATAGGCATGCTGAAATATTTAGAGGTCAAGTCTACTGATGTATCCAAGCTGGGCCCAGCCACTGGAGAGGCTGAAGTGAGAGGATTGCTTGAGTCCAGGAGTTCAAGACTAGCCTGGGCATTGTAGTGAGACCCCCATCTCTAAAACTAAAAAAATATAATGTATCCAAAAAATAAGATGGACAGCTAGATTGTTACATGGGTAAACCTATGATAATACTAGCATATCATTATTATTTTTGAGATGGAGCGTCTCACTGTTACCCAGGTTGGAGTGCAGTGGCGTGATCTCAGCTCACGCCTCATGGGTTTAACCAATTCTGCCTCAGCCTCCTGAGTAGGTTGGATTATAGGTGCCCACCACCACACCCAGCTAATTTTTGTATTTTTAGTAGAGATGAAGTTTCACCATGTTGGCCAGGCTGATCTTGAACACCTGACCTCAAGTGATCTGCCCACCTTGGCCTCCCAAAGTTCCGGTGTTTACAGGTGCATTCCACCACCCCCAGCATAGCATATCAATGTTAAATGTAGAATCTAAGTGGTAGGCATGTGGGTGTTCACTGTTCTTTCAACTTTGAAAATTTTAAAATTGGGAGGGGGCAGTGTGAAGGAAAAGAAAACATTTACTGGGCATATACGATATGTCACTGTTTGAAGAATTGCATATTTATCGTTTCATTTAGTTTTCCCAGGCATTCTGTGAAGGCCACTACTCTGATTTCAGGTTCTCCTGCTCCACCTGGCTAACTTTATCCCAGCCACATGAGCTTCCTGCTGCTCTTCAGATAAACAGGTCTGTCCCTACCTCAACTGTTTCATGAGTAGTATCTCTACCTAGAACACTCCTTTCCCAGTATTCACAAGCTTCGTTCAGTCACTTCCTTGAGAGTCTTACAGAAACACCGTCTTCTCATGAGGCCTTCTTTTTCAGTCCCTTTAAAATGGAAACTACTCTCCCGAGCACCCTCTGTGTCCCTCTTCCCATTTTATTCTGATCATTCTATTATTACTATGATGTAACTCTTAGCTTATTTTTCCATTTTGTTTATTGTCCATCTCCCTTACTAAAAAGTGACTGTCGAGACTGGAATAGTTTCTACGTTGTGTTCACTGCTTTGTCCCAAATGCTGAGAACAGTGATTTTCACAGGGTGTATGTGCAATAAATATTTGTTAAATGTATCAAAGAAGTGGTAGTTTAGTGGTTTAAAAGAAGTAGTAGTTTAAATGAGTTAAAGAAGTGGTAGTTTAGTAAGGGTTGTGTTTGGTGATAAGTAACAAAGACTTACAAAATAGTGGCTTAGCCTTTATTGCATTTGTGTGTGTGTGTGTGTGTGTGTGTGTGTGTGCATGGTTTACTTTACACATAAAAGAAGTACAGAGGAGGCTGGGTGAGGTGGCTCACACCTGTAATTCCAGCACTTTGGGGGGCCGAGGTGGGTGGATCACGAGGTCAACAGATCAAGATCATTCTGGCCAACATGATGAAACTCTGTCTCTACTAAAAATACAAAAATTAGCTGGGTGTGGTAGCATGCACCTGTAGTCCCAGCTACTTGGGAGGCTGAGGCAGGAGAATCGCTTGAACCCGGGAGGTAGAGGTTGCAGTGAGCCGAGATCACACCACTGCACTCCAGCCTCGAGACAGAGCAAGACTCTGTCTCAAAAAAAAAAAAGTACAGAGGCAAACAATTCAAATTTGTTATATTGACTTGGTGGTGTTCAAAACCTAATTTCTTTCATTTTTTTTTTTTAAGTCAGTGTGTCAGTGTGTCACTCTGTCACCCAGGCTGTAGTGCAGTTGTGCAAACACCTGGGCTCAAGCAATCCTCCAATCTCAACCTCTTGAGCCGCTGGGACCACAAGCTCACACCATCACCATGCCCAGCTAGCTTTGTTATGCATAGATTGTCTTCCTAAGGTTACGTCATAGTCCAGGATGACTGTAAGAGCACCAGCTATTACTTTCACATTTTAGACCTTAAAAAGGAGGAAAAAAAGATAAAAAAGGGCATCCTCTTTGTTTTGAGACAGAGTCTCACTGTCACCCAGGCTGGAGTGCAGCGGTGTGATCATGGTTCACTTCTGCCTCAGCCTCCCAGGCTCAAGCAATCTTCCCACCTCAGCCTATCAAGTAGCTAGGACCAGAGGAGCACACCACTGACCTAGCTAATTTTTAAATATTTTTATTTAAACAAGAGGGTTTAAATAAAAATCCGTGTGTGCAAACAAGATCTCCCTATGTTGCCCAGCATACGCTCCCCTTTTTAATGGAAAGATCCCAGAAACTGGCTGGGGGGTGACTCACACCTGTAATCCCAGCACTTTGGGAGGCTGAGGCAGGTAGATCACCTGAGGTCAGAAGTTCGAGACCAGCCTGTCCAACATGGTGAAATCCCGTCTCTCCTAAAAATACAAAAATTAACCAGGTGTGGTGGCGTGTGCCCGTAGTCCTAGCTACTCAGGAGGCTGAGGCAGGAGAATTGCTTGACCTGGGAGGCAACAGAGTAAGGCTCTGTCTCAAAAAAAAAAAAAAAGTTCCAGAAACTTAGACCATAGAAACTTTTATTTCATATTACTGGACCACACACTGTACTGTATAGGATTTCTCCTTTTAATCTCATTGACCAGAACGTAGTCACATGGCTGCAAGGGAAGCTGGGAAACATGGTCTGTTCTCTGACTGGCAGTGTGCTTAGCTAAAGCACTGCTGTTCCTTTACTAAGGAAGAAGGGGAGAATGGATATTGGGAGATAACCAGTAATGACTGCCATAGGTAGATATTATCACTGGCCTCATCCTGCAGATGGGGTTAGGTGAAGAGACATTCTTTGGGAGCCCAGAGGAGTACAGGATCTGATCCCAAGCCCTTTACCGTCAGGCCACATGACACAGCACTTGTGAGTGTGGCCGAACAAGAGAAATTCTTTATGTCCTGTTGTTTGCTTAATACCACAGAGGAGGTTAATTGGCAAAGTGAAACAAATAGAAGCTGTAGAAAATACATTCTGAACATTCCTTACTGCCCATAGCCTGGCGCTGAAGGGCCCTGGCATCTATTTTAGGAAAAGGCTAAATATATTTAAGTATATTCATGGGAAGGATGCGGTACCACATGGTAACATTATTGATTTCTCTGTTAGTCCTTATGGTAGAGCAAAAGTCACATACCACTATTTTATAACATCAAAGATTGACCAAGTATGTATGTTTTTCAGATGATAGCATGCTTATGGAGTTAAAACCATGAGATAATGGAGTAGAAAGTGGTATGATTATCTCGATCAGTGGTTCTTAGCCTCTCTTGGGCCATATATTCCCTTTGGGATTCTTATAAAAAGTATAAACTCGCCGGGTGGGGTGGCTCACGCCTGTGATCCCAGCACTTTGGAGGCCGAGGTGGGCGGATCATGAGGTCAGGAGTTCTAGACCAGTCTTGCCAACATGGTGAAATCCTGTCTCTGCTAAAAATACAAAAAATTAGCCAGGTGTGGTAGTGTTGCCTGTAATACCAGCTACTCGGGAGGCTAAGGCAGGAAAATCACCTGAACCCGAGAGGTGGAGGTTGCAGTGAGCCAAGCTCATGCCATTGCACTCCAGCACAGGTGACAGTGTGAGACTCCCATCTCAAGAAAAAAAGTATGAACCCTCTCTCTAGAAAGCTGGACATTTGTTCCTACTCACAAATCCTGGTCTTTAACCTCAGGGAGCTCATGGACTACCCTGAAGCCCATCTAATAAATTAAACATTTTTAGGAAAGTTTTTGGGAAATGTTTATGAACACTCCCACAGTTCCTTGCATACACATATATACACACCAAGGTCGGAGTGGGCATCACACGGCTCATCAGTTAACGTGGAACCTTCCAGACCTTTATAACATAGGGCGTTTAAAAAAAATACAAATGGTCTCAACAATACATGCAGGACTGCAGCTTGGTTTTATTTATTCATTCAGCACTATGTCTCAGGGGTACATATGTCTCTAGATTGTCTTCCATTTTTCATAAGCATGATACATTCTTTTTACACTTCTGATCGGCTTGTTGTTGTACTTCAAGAGAAAGAAAAATGAGCCACAAAAGATTCAGAAAGGGGCAAACAAGGAAATCAAGTGTTTTTTAAAGGCTAGATGGAATGAGTTCAGACTCTACAGCACGTATGTAAGATTGAGTGTAATCACAAGTCATAAAACCATGATGGGTAGGAATGAAGACACTAGAAATGTCACAGCAAACTTTAACATATAAAAACAAGAGAGCTTTTCTAAAAGCTCAGAATAAGTCACTTTAGAAAAAAAATTAAAGGACTGGTTCA